TGACTGGTAAATTATAACATTTCTTGTGTCAAAAAAAAAAAAGAAAAACAAATTGCGGTTCCTGCAGGTGTTTAAAACAATAGCTGAAACAGGAAATACATACTAAAAATAAAATGTTTTTTTGTTTTTGCTATAAGGCAACATTCACTTTAATTAAATAACTAATTAAATTAAGTAATAAAATTATATGATCCATTGGTTTTGATTCAAACTTAAATGTGCATTTGTGTCCTCGTTTCATCCCTGGGTCAACCCCTTTTTAAAAGTCTGAATTTTCTAAAGTCATCACCGCGGGATTTTCTCATCATCTGGTTAGCGTGTAATTAGCAATTAGCATCATGAGACACCACTAAGGGCCATTTAATCGTTTCAAAATGTTTGTTTACTGCCATCCGTGCTGCGTAAACGTTTGTTTAGCGTGACGGTTCCCAAAATGGGGGGCAAACCTCCAAATGTGAACTGAGCTAAGAGTTAAGGAAAATCATATTTCTGATGAGCAAAAATAGAAAAAATATATATATATATATTTTAGCTAAATATTGAGTCCAATGATTCTGGATTCTTCACTGAAGGAGTGGAATGCGAAAAAAAAAAAATTTCCTGAATCCGTTCAGTTCGGCGGCAGCCCGAGAAGCCTTAATTGGCACGGGAAGAAGAAGAGTTCATTTAGACGGTTTTCCACCGCCACTCCATAAGTAATGACTTCTACTGTCCTGGTTCATTACGTCTAACTACCTTCCCACAGACCACTGCTGCACGGAGGGAAACAGCCGTGTTTGCTTTCTTTCGGAGAGTTAATGAGACCACCTCTTGCCATTCTGAGCACCTTTGAGTCCTCATCAGACTAAGAAAGGCCAAAAAAAAAAATAGCATAAACAAGTGATTTCCTTACATCCAACTCGAGGCCCGGGGGCCTAGTGTAGGCCGGCGAGTCATTTTGTATGGCCCGGAGAAGCTTAAAAAGCTGTAACTTGAGGGAAGGTCATCCAGTTCCAACGTTTGCTTCTTAACTTTGTAACTGTGAGTTCTCGCTCGTTATCAGTTGCTGCTAGTTGATACTCTTTGGGACAAAGTGAGCTCAGATATAAAGCTGTTATACAATAGAACAGTCTGTATCTGCATGCGTGACTCATGGTCGGACCTCAAGATGTGCTGTTCTCCACGGGGTGTGACTCAGTACGTTGGGAGGTTTTAGGACATCTAGATATACAGTATAGTCCATCATGCACATTGAAGTCCACCGACCGACTGTCTTCGACGTGGTTGCTGACCGTTCAGTTCGGTCTTCCGCCTGTGCTAGCAGGCTGGTTGCCGCACACAAAAGCGCACCGTTAAGAGCCACCACGCTGTGAAGGATCAGTGGGATTCTCACAGTGGTTTCAGGATGAATCGAAAATGCGTCTTCAAGTGCTGCAACCCCACAGTGGAGATCAGTGAAGACCCAATCATGCTCAGTGAGCCCTGAGGGACATGAAAACCCTCTTGAGTTTTCATCACATGACATGAAACAGAATCCTCTTTAGATACAGTCTAAATGAGATCCATCTGCTGCAAAGGAGTAACTGGAGGAGCGGTTGGAGACCGGGATATTAATCATTTGAACTTTGGCCTCAAACACAAAATAAATACCAAGGGACACCTTGACACTCAGAGACACGGTCAGCTTTAATAACCCGTGTTCAAGGAGTTCCGTAGACACACTCGTAGAGTGATGACCGAAATCCACCAACGCTGCGAAACTAAATTTTAAGTTAAACATTTTTCGATGTAATACTGTGATCGGCACAGTTTTTTTGATCCAATTTAAGAATGTTGATTTATCGCAATTGATCGTGAGTAATCGTTAATCCACAGCTATCGTGCGATTCATCAGGGTTAAAGCTTTTATTATTTTCGAGACCTAATTTTTTTGGTCAATTTTAAGTATGTCGATTTATCGCAATTGATCGTGATTAATCGTTTATCCACAGCTAGCATGTAATGACTCTGGATTTAAGCTTTCATTTTCTACAGTTAGTTTTTTTTTTTTTTTTTGGTCAAATTTAAAAATGTTGATTTATCGCAATTGATCACGATTGTTAATCCACAGCTAGCATGTAATGACTCTGGATTTAAGCTTTCATTTTCTACAGTTAGTTTTTTTTTTTTTTTTTTTGGTCAAATTTAAAAATGTTGATTTATCGCAATTGATCACGATTGTTAATCCACAGCTAGCATGTAATGACTCTGGATTTAAGCTTTCATTTTCTACAGTTAGTTTTTTTTTTTTTTTTTGGTCAAATTTAAAAATGTTGATTTATCGCAATTGATCGCGATTCATTGTTAATCCACACCTACTTTGTGATTCACCAGCATTTAAGCGTTTTTTGTTTTCTAGCCCTTGTTACGTTTTTGTGTCGTCTTGGAGCCAGTCAGTTAAGGAGCAGCATTACTCAGAATTGAACACATCTCGCACATTATTTTTGTTCTTTGTAGATTGTGGCCCATGATAGAGCAATAACAGGATTCTGTAAATTCCCCTCAGCCCATGGAGATGATGGCTTTATTATCGGTGTGGAAACTGACTGGCCTCAGCGGAGGTCTGATTTCCTTAGATGTATTCCAAAACAAAACACTAACGATTGCAAAGTAATCAAACATGATGAGAATCGAACACCCGATCCCTCACGACATCTTTTGACCTTTCAGTAACAAGCCCGGGTGAAACACTTTGTTTATTGTAAGCTGCGGCTCAGTTCCATTAAGATCTCTGTGCGCCACCTACTGTGTGACGATAAAAACAAACGCTCGTCTAACTGTGATGCAGTTACGGTTATTGTCATCAATAACAGCTGTGGTTTGGAATGACTGCTGTTAAGGACAAAAGAAAAACACACAACAGGATGAATGGGGATGACTCATGGGTAATAAGTTGATTTTCATTGATCTTAGGACACTTTCTAGCGACCTCTCTTGGCGCTCCGTTAATGACAGACAGCCCGCGGCTTTTGTTTGGCTGCGTCTGAAGTATGTCTGCGTGATCTCTGCGATAGAACATCTGCAGCATGTCCTTCGCCGCGGAGACTTTAAACCTCATGGGGATGTGATTCCGAGGAGGGAAATAACATTTTCATTAAGAAATTAGAAAGGGACTAATCCGAGTGATGGTGTTATTGATATGGAGGAATGATAGCTCAAAATTAACTTCATGGAGTTGAGTGGATCGTAATCATCACTCTGCATCTTCACAGTTTTGGATTTGGGAATGCATTGAGAGTCGCTTGCAAAATTTGTGAAGTGAAGTCATCGTCCTCAAAATGAAATAATCAGATAATCCGATATTAAACTTTTTTTGTCCATATCCAATATTGGCCGAACATTTAATATCCTATTCCCTTGTCGACTGATACCGATATATGCGTACGGATTAAAGGCAGAGGACACATTTAATTGCGTGCGGTGGTGCGCTGAATCGCAACGACAGAAATTCACTTTCAATTTCAATGTCACTTCAGAACTAATTTTTAGGTCACATCGTATGGCGAAACCCAGGCATCGCATTATCGGAAATACCGATAACGATTCTTAACCAGTATTACATAATTATGCTAATACTGGCCTTTAGTTGCTAGCGGCACTAACTACCCTGCGATCGGTGAGGCTGTTGAACTCAGGCCAGACGTCTGACCTGTAGCCTCCACAAACACATGCTGGTTGTTGAGGTGGTATTTAAAGCTCAAGGCGCTTCAGTGAAACAGAAACCCTCGGCAACTACAAGTGAACAGACAGTATGTCCCCAGTTCAGTGAAACAGAAACCCTCGGCAACTATAAGTGAACAGACAGTATGGCCCATTTTGCCCATGAGTTAAAATGCCTTCAGCCTGAGAACAGGGCCAAAGAATGTTGAGCGTTAGCACCATGAAGAATAACCCAAAACAACTGCAGCGTTGTTATCCAGCACAGAGTGTTCATAATTTACATTTGACCTTGGTTCGTCTTTCGAGATCATTTCGTTACTTCGTTCGGATCTGTCATTTCAAGTAGCCCGCCTTGGGCTAAAACAAATCTTTCTGTGTGGTATAGTCCACACCCCAACCCTAATGTTTTAATTAGCAGCGTACTCATTCATATGCTAACACACAGAGCGGTCCTTCCGGCAGCTACGTTTCCAGAGAGTTGGGGGGGAAAAAAATGGTGAACTGCGAGGAGGGAAGGTCAGGCAGACATGGACGGGGGTAGTCAGTTTACTCCAGGCTCATTTATTATGAATGTCCTGTCCTGTTCGTGATATATTTATGGAGGGGGAAAAAAAAGACAAGAAAGTGGGACACTATTTTTATTTTTTATTTTTTTTGAACCTCTCAACAAGCCATTGAACTACATCAGACCACTTTCGCTTTATCAAGCATAGCTGGGTTTGTCAGAGTCTGAGGTTAGAGGTAAATCAGCCCTTTTACAGCTTTTAGAAATCTTTGAAATTCCTCATCCTGGGGGGGGTTTTACAAGGACCCTGGTGACCCAGAATAATTGTCCTGTTCTGTTTACGGTTCCGTATGTTTTTGTTTTTTTTTCATGTGATGCGACACAAGTTGTCAGTCAGTTCTGTTCCTGCTCTACTGTGCCGTACACACGCAGTCGCCGGCTCGAACCACAACAACACCGACTCCCTGGAGACAAATCCGTGCGCTGCAACACCCTCACCCTCACCCTCCACACTGCTGAGCAGCCGCTACACACGGCGTTACTGCAGGAGGGAGAACAGATCGATTCTAAGTGAGTCGTGTTCAGTTCTGTCAATCGGGTGCGCGGCGGATAATGAGATGCTGATGATGTGGTTTCGGGAAAAGCAGAAATTCACACCGCGCACACACAACTAGAATTAGAAGTTGAGATGCCGAGTTTGGGGCTGCACTTGTAGTATTTATTAAGTACATTGAATTCAGTATTGAAATATCGGTGGTGATGGTGATGACTCTCCCTCGAAGAGAAATCTGACATTTCTGTATCATGTCCTTCATACCTGCTCTGCCGCCTCTGGGTCCAGGTGCGTGTCCAGTAGGGGGACGGTGAACTGTATCTTCCTGGGGCTCCCAGTTTCCATGGTAGTTTCTGATCTCTTCTGAGGCAAAGTCGAGGACGATCTTATGAAGTGTAGTCCGTACGGGAGAAGAGTGAGTCTCAGTGAAGGGGTCTGGCACAGAGGATGAAGTGAAGTCCAAATGGAAAAGATCACTAAAACCTGTCTGTCTGACTGATGGCTGCTCTTTACGTTAATCTTTTTTTTTTTTAAAAATCTTTCTCCCTGATTTTTGGCACGTTTTTCCCCCTCTGGTTCACTTGCTCTTCTCTCCTCTACTCTGCACCTGCTGGTGTCTCCTCTGGCTTTACTCCCCTTCCTCTCTGTCTCACACGGAAGGAAGGGCAGTCGTGGCTTGGAACTCCTCTCCTTCGCTGTCATTCGCCACACGGCTGCTCCCCTTCGCGCTAAACCCCACCCTCTGTTAGCACTTCCTCCGACTGGTTGGTGCTTAGGATCAGGAAGGCTGTTCTGCAGCAGGAGAGAGTGAGGATGACAAAAAAACCTGCTCCCTCTCTGTCTCTCTCTCCCTCTGTTTTTCTTACCCGTGTCTTCGTCGGTGCTTGAGATGAATATATTTTTTTTTGCTAAAGTACTCCTACACACAATTAAATATAATTAAATTCAGAAATACATTCTCACTTGTGAGTGTGTTTTTTATGAAGACAAAAACAAATCAATAGATTATTTAAAACATGTCTTCAATCATTTAACTCTGGAAAAATAATATGTGGTAAATAATAGGTTCATGCAAAAAATTTTGCACTTTTTCGTGCAGCGCCCCCCATTTATCGATTTGTTGAGAGTCGACACATTTGAAGTTTTTTTTTAACATTCTATTAATGATTTCAGAAAATTGATATTTATTGACATACTGCGCCCCCTGCAGTAGCTTCACACCATCTTGGGTACCCAGTCCCCATTTTGGGTCCCCAAACAGCCCTGACATAATCCAAAAACTACATCATCCCTAACCATAACAAACTAAACTCGAACTGAACTCTAAACTTCAACTAAACTTAGCTCATACCCCTAACTCCTTAACCCAAACCAGTACTCCTCAAAAAGTGGACCTTCCTCGGGGTATGCCGGGGGGTCAGGGGGCAGCTGTGTAGGAGCTAAAGTACTCCTACACACAATTAAATATAAATGAATTCAGAAATACATTCTCACTTCGATATGTTGAGAGTTGACAGATTTGAAGTTTTTTTCTTTAACATTGTAGTAATGATTTTCAGAAAATTGATATTTATTGACATACTGCGCCCCCTGCAGTAGCTTCACACCATCTTGGGTACCCAAAAATCCAAAAACTCTATCCTCAATCTCATCCCTAACCATAACAAACTAAACTTGAACTGAACTCTAAACTTCAACTAAACTTAGCTCATACCCCTAACTCCTTAACCCAAACCAGTACTCCTCAAAAAGTGGGCTCCCCTCGGGGGATGCCGGCGGGGCGTCCAATGGAATATGCCAAACATATGGACATAAGTGTACCACTTCTGTAATGCTTGAACGATAACAAACCTCCAGTCACTAGGTGGCAGCAACTCATACAGGGGTTTGTACAGATAAGAATATACAACTCACGCTTCCACATGACAGGGCTCAAACTGCTCTCAACTTTTTCTACCGTTCTCTCTCTCTCTCGTGTCCCACAGACATATACGCACTCAGAGCCGTTCACAAACAGACTTACGTTAAAAAAAAGTAGCCGCTTATTGTCCGGTAAATGACTGTAATCCCTAACTCTCATCCTAACCTTGAACTATCTGGGAGTATCTTCAAATGTCTTGGTGCACAAGGTTGTCTGGCTGATTGTCAAAGTGGATTAGCCACCAAAAAATGGGTCACGGAAATATTTTGTTAATTCATGACCAGTGACTCAGCCATCTGCAGCTCCACTTTTGGTGGACTCGTTTATTCACGCTGGTTTGGTTTTTTTTCTGGACACAGAAGGTCTTTAAAAAGAAATAAGAAAAACACTTTTTTTATACATGTATGTATGTGAAATATACACACTCTTGATCATACTAGTATTTTTTTGAAGACTTTAACATCTCACAGTGTCACGTTAAGGCATGATGACACTTTAAAAGGATTATCTCTGCCTTTCCCTCTCCATCTGACCAGCCTTGTCCTCACGGCTGCCTGTCCACCACAGACTTTATTGATTGTCTCCAGCCGGAGCGTCCCTTCATCCCACTTTTCCTTGGCCCTGATATCTGATACTGACAAAGCAGCATATGGCACTGGGCTCGTTCCACTTTTGCCCCACAGACGGGAGCGTTCGGGGTAATATAATTTCTGCAAGGAAGGGAATCGATATCACAGAAATGAGAACTATCATTGTTTTAACATTTATTTCAAACATTTATTCAGACAACAAATATCTTTTTTTTTTTAATTTGCGGCTTCCATTTCACCTTCGCTTCTTTTTTTTTATCCTTGCATTAGCTCTTAAGGGCAAGTCAAGTGACAAATCCTGCATGATTTGTCACTATTTTCCTGCATGAATAAATAAAAAAAAAACATCAAAATCCTTTTTGCATCTCTTTGATCCAGTTATTATATTTTCTGTGAAGGGAAAACCCACAAATTCTTTCGCATTTGTCTTTTGTCTGCGACTTAAACTCACAGTGCGCTGTGCAGAGTTGAGCAACAACTAGTGGTTGGATTTAGTATAAGCGCCCTTATTACACTGCATGAGCGTATCGCAGATCGCTGTTGGTAATTTTATATTTGTACTGCGATGCGAGTAAATAAAACGTTTCTTAAATCTAGAAAAGTCAGTAAAAGAAAATATATTAAAATTATTTAAGATGTATTTTGGGCATGGTAATAATATATTTAGGCATGGTCATAATATAGTAATATTTTTAAAATTACATTTGTTACAAACATGGAATAAATGTCTGAGTTATCCCTTTTTTTTTTACATATGATATATTCTAATCATCGTAAGTTGAAGGTTATGAATATGCTGACGTTTCATTCTTACATAACTGACGCCCTTTTTTCTAAACCCCGTAAATTATGAAACGCGGTAAGACGACCGCTCCGAGCTCGTTAGTCCTGCAGCAGAGATGTTTACCCTTGACGTTGCTTTTTATATTCTACCTCTGACCGTGGTGTGTGACAAATTGTGCTGATTCACAGTCATGGGCGGGAACAGCTGGGACGTGTCCTCTCTCCAGCCTCCTTCAACATGGCTGACTTTCAAGATGATAACAAAGGTCAGAAATGCAGCTCCGGCCATGCTCCAGAGATTTGGAGGCGGGCGGAGATTTCACCTTTGGTGCAGTTAAAGGTAATGTGTGCAAAATTGTTGGAGAATAAGAATATTCCAATGAACCGTTCCTCTGCATTGTAATGAGTCTGTCTGCTTCTGTCCCTTTAGTTAGAATTCCTACTCCCAGACGTTGCCCCCCTGCAGACTCATGCAATTCAAATGAGTAAAATGTTTTCTCTTACTGAGCTGCACAGATTAGAGTGGAGGCAGGCGGCGCCGGCGCGCCGGCGGCGCCGGCGGCCGCCACACCTTCAACACCTTCAACACCTCCCATCGATTTTTCTTCTTTAAACCCTCAGCAAGAAATATTTTTATTATTTATTAAAATTATTTATTTATTTTATATATTTATTTTTTTATTATTATTTTATTTATATTTATATACATATTTATTTATATTTTTTAGTGTTGATGATTTTAATGTATTTATTTTTTTAATGTTTTTCTACTTTTTATTTATGTATTTTTTAGTTTTTTTTTTCTTATTTTATTTTTTTCTTATTTATGTTTTTAGTTTAGTTTTAGTTTAGTTGTGAAATTAAACATAACACAAATTGTATGATACCTAAAAGGATATACAGTGTTCCCTCTCTATATCGCAATTTTTTTTATAATAATACGATCTCGTGAAATTTTCGCTATATTGCGAAATATATAAAAGTTTTGGCTTTAAAAATGTGGATTCTCGTTTTAAAATCGAGATACGCTTTTTTGCGAAACGATCGCCGCTGGATTTGTTTACCTAGACGGGATCGTACACAGCATATTATTGGCTAATTGAGCATGCTCTTCTGTTCCTCATGCTGATTGGCTCATGCATCGTAGCGTCTCCCCTCGTCTGTCGGCCACTCTCTCGATCACTTCGCTCTGCGTCGCCATTCTACAACTCCACTGTGTATACAGTTGTGTGGGGGAGGTTGGTAAAGTGTAAATATATACGTAAATAATATTGCGATTTTTTGTTTTTTTCCCCATTTTGCGGTGGGTCTTGGAACGCTACCACCGATTCACGCTACACAGTACATACTGTACAAATATAGAAATTGTGTTTGTGATTGGACGACTGCTTCAATACAACGTGATTAGCCCTGGTCAAAATGAAACCACAGATACTGTATCTGTTAGCAATGACCCAGGATGGATTTCAGCTTTTCTTCCATCAGCTCTGATTAGCTCTTTCTCTTTTTTCATTCTGCAGGTCCACCAAGAGGGGGGTCAAAGGTCAGGTTAATGAAAGACCCTGGAAAAGCTGGCAGAGAGGGATGGACGTACTGTCCTCCCCAGTAATTGGCCCTGGAAACAGCGTAAGCCGGCTGTAATGGCCTGTTTCTGCGTTCTAATTAGCACTGGAGCTGATTGCATGCTGCTTCCCCAGGTGGACTGTAAATCCACACACACTTACACCACAGCTGCCGCGTTCAAACACCAGGTTTCCCTTTGTATTGAAAAGATGAAAGGCAGCAATCACAGTAAATAGAGTGTCTAGTTAACGTAGCATGTGCAGTACGTGCAGTATGTGCATCTTATTTCATACAAAACACATGTCCTTATTATTAATCCTTACATAATTTAACAAATAAATGAATAAACTAAGTTGGTACAGATGGAGTTTGTGTGAGAATGTATTGTAATTTAACTTCAAAAAAATATTTAATAGTTGGAAAGAAAGAAAAAAAGTGAGACAACAGAACAGTTTGTTTTTACAGCTTCCCTGATTGAAATAAACAGTAAACATGCTGCAGGTTTTAGATATTAGACAAAAAAGAATATTAAAAGGATCCTTCTTTTTTTTTTTGTTTTCCTTTATCATTTCAGGCAGTCAGGTCAAATGTTGTGGTACAAAAACAGGATTTTATTTTGACTTTGGTTCAGATCGGTTTATTCTTTCCGCATGTATTTCTCCGCTTGGCCTTGTCTCTGGACATCACTGAGTAGATGTGACTAATTTCCTTCCGAATCTCTGGGGAACGGCCAAACTCCAGATCTGACCTGGGGCTGCCTCCCAGGTACGAGGCTGGACCTGCTCCTGCGTCATCACCAGTCCCCTGGAGCCCCGTCCAAACCTGCTTAAAAAATAAATAAGAGAAGGTAACATATATATATGTGTATATATATGTATATATATGTATATGTATATATGTATATATGTAAATATATATGTATATATATACATACATATATGTATATATGTATATATATACATTTATATGTATATGTAATATATATGTATATATATATATATACATACATGTATATACATATATATGTATATATATTTAATATATTTTTTTTTATTATTATTATTTTTACTTTTTTTATCCGGTATATACTGCATTATTATTTGGTGATCTGGTAAAAAGGCATGAAGTTTATACAGCAGTCTTTTTTCTATTTGAAACCTTACATCAGTGGTTCCCAAGGTGGGAGGCGTGGCCCCCTGAGGGACACTGACATATTACCAGGAAGGATTAGAAAGGCAAATTAATTTCAGTTTTAACACTTTTGGTGCCTTTGCGGGCACATTTTAATGAGTTTATAATTGCGTTTCGTTTGTTCTAAGAGAATCTTGATGTAGAAAAAAGCTCGTGAATAATGTTGTCGCTGCAGACAAAGTCTAGGAACCACTACCTTAAATTTAAAAAAAAACAAAAAACAAATATATGACCTTTGAGGCTGATGAAGAACAGACGTCCTGGTTTGTCTGTGAGCTCCGTGCAGCAGAGCTCTCAGCACTGAGATCAACAGACGATCATCAATACTGGTATCTGTGTTTTCACTCCCCTGTAACACACACACACACACCCATGTACACGCACATACACAAACAAACACACAGAACACACACACACACACACACGTACACGCACATACACAAACACACCATAAACGCAATTAGTAACTGCTTTCGTAATTTGTTCAGTACCACAAACCCCAGGGGGTCGGGTCCAGACCATCTGTCCTGCTGCCACGGAGGACCTGGGGACGCTGTGAGTGTCTGCCGCCAAAGAAATGAGCCTCAAAATCAAGGTCCCAGGGTCTGTGCGCTGGGGTTTTCCCACTGTTTATAAATCTGTTTACGTTACCGCAGAGTGTATTGTAGTGCATGTCACACTCTGAAACTGATTTGGTTTTTATATTCCAGCCCCTTGTGTCCCTTGATAAAACTGCTAAAAGCTCATTTACTTTCTCTTTGTACGAGCGACTTGATCAAAAAGCTTGCCTTGACTTGTTTGGGAATCAGTAGCCATTATGTGACGTGTTAAGGTGCCAGAACTAAAATCTCTAAATGTATATAAATGTTATAGAGTAACGCTGACATTCTCTTTCAAAGCGAGATGAATCCAAAATCAAAAGCCTGTGATTGGTTTATCGCCTCACCAGTCCCAGCAGGTGTTCCGCCATGTTTTCTTCTACGCTGTCAGGAGAAATGTCACTCTTGTCCAGGCCACTTTGCAAGTGGAGAGCTTGACTGAAATCAGCCATGGCCATCAACACAGTCAGAAGAGTCACCAGCGAAGATGCGTCCATGACTGCTGAGATAGAAGACAGGAAAGATGCCGATGACAAAAGCTAGAGAGGAGAAGGAAAGATTGTTTCTGTTTCTGGTCAGAACTTCAAAAGCTCCTGGAGTGTGGACGAAGGTCTCACTTTGTTCCGGACGAGTCTTCCTCCTTGCGTTGGGTCCTGGCTAACCTTACTGGGGTCAGCGTCCTTGGTGGTGCTTATATACCAGCCATAATTGTAATCTCTAAATCCTCAGGAGAGTTGAAGAAAGATGTTACTGTCCATGGGGGATCGAGGGACTGGATAAGAGAAGAAGTGGTCTTTAATATGGGACCTGTCCTGGTCCATTTAGTGGGATCAGTGCATTAGTGATGACAAAGCAGGTTATTATGTGGCCTTCAGGGTCCAAGCACAGCTCCTCCAGTTATTAAACAGATAAATCCCCACAAATGGACTCTGGTCTTCTAGTCCCCTTTGTCTAGGTGTCCTTGTTGTATGAATGGACCGAGACAAACATAAGCAACAATTAGTTGCTGAATCATGTGACTATATTTCTACAAAACGTGCAGTCCGGTAAATCAGAGTGATCTCAGGAAAATGTATCTATATTAGGGACTAAACACATTTTTTTTCTTACACTCATTTATTTTGTTTATATTTTATTTATATTGCACAAGGTATTTCATTCTCTCGTTGGTTTTTGTTCGTTTCACTAAGATTTCACTAAATGCAGTTGGTTTCCTATTATTAAAGCCTCTTATCTTTTAAATGTCAACTTGCTCTGGTTTGTTAATTTAGCAGCAGCTTAAGACTTTATTAGAAACTGCACTCTCGTGTTTCACGCACGCACACACACGTATGTGGTCGAGTAGCCAATATTGATGTAACAGTTGGCTTGTCCCTTCAAAGAGCCTAATAGGTGACAAACCACTTAAACACTGACGCACTGTTAACTGCCATAGTAACACAGATGACGTCTGAAGGATTCATTAAATAAAACCCGTTTTGTTTAACAGGAAAATAAATTTAAAAAATAATAAAGTCATTCTTAGAAACAACACTTCTGGAACACTTGGTGGTACATTTAAAAAAAATCTAGTTTGTTATGAATTGCTTAACAGTATCAGTGACCAAACAATTATAATTAATTAAAATTAACGGCGGTACTAACGGAAACTGGTACTGTGACTAATGACTTTTTCCATCGTTACAACGTCGTTGACGTAGACGAAAATAAATGGGGCGCGTTAAAAAATAAAGTTGCTCACTGAAGATGGTGTCACTAAACTCTCATCCACAGGAGGGCGCTTTTGGTGAGGGCGGAGGAAGGAGGGAGGAACGACGCAGCAGCATACTTGATAATGATTGGCTAAGCTTTCATGATTAACCAATCAGGCTCACACACCCAAACTAGCAGAGGTAAGCGGCCGCAATGGCGAGTGTATAGCAGAGGTAAGCGGCCGCAATGGCGAATGTAGAGGGACAGTTGGCGTTTTCAAAACGGAAATACTAGCACTACTTAAGTTTCCTAGGGCTTAAAGGCAAGAAAAATCTACACGTTGCGCGTACGTTATGTCTCGAAGCGAAGTGTTGTCCACGTCCGTTGTGAGCAACTCTAATTTACTGAAGCATCTCTCAACGGCACACACTTCTACAAAACTAGTGGCCAGAAACACCGTTGTTGACACTGCTGACGATGACAGCGGGCCAAGTGTAAAGGTTTGATTTATTTAATTTACACTACAAAGTTAAAGCACTTCATAGTTACTGTTGACTTTTATTTTTAAGAAAATAGTTAAAGAGTACAGTATGTACAGAGAGTTAAACGCAGTTCATATTGTTAACATGTTTGTTACGAAGAAAATAACGTTCTGGCCTGTGAAAACCATAAAAAGTAATTCTGTTTCTTTTTCTTTTTTATTGGAGCTTTAACTAGTAGCTATAAGTTTTTAAAAGTAACGTGCCTAACAGGAGTAAACACATTACACTCTTCCTGTAGTGATGGATTTTGTTGTACAAATTTATGAAGAATTTTTAAAGGATTGTTTGACTTTATATATATATATTACCCGTTTCTTGTGGTTGAATTTTAATGACTTGGCTCCAAGTCATACTACTTACTCAGATATTTAGAGGAATTAAACAACAACAACAATAAAACTATTCTAGGTGTCATTGAATTATGTAGGTATTCGAAATGGCAATTTCAGTCCTGAGGTTTTACTGCCTACCAGTGTTCAGGTTATGTACTGCAGCGTAATGCACCTCCACTTGTATAATAAATATGACAACACTTGTGATTTCTGGTAGATTTATTTAAACTGTCCTTTATTATGTCTACAATGTTAGAACAGTGCAGCCAAACGAAAATAAAACAAATAAATAAAACAACAAGTCATGATGAAAATGAAAAAAGAAAAAGTCAAAGAAACTAGTGGGAGCATAAAAAAGAGCAACATTAGATTCATGCCGTTAATATGAGATTGTCCAGCAATACCTAACAAAAAAAAAAAAGATGAATTCTCATGCGTTACAGCTTCTTTATTGACTCATTTCAAGTCCTGCAGTTCAAGCATCTGAATGAATTCACCTCATCTCATAGTATCAGCGTTGAAGGGGTTGTCCATGTGTCCTCAGGTGTCCACCAAGTCATTTCCCGGAGTTTGATGTAATTTGGCGTAGCCTTGTTTTTTGTTTTTCACAGTAGCTTCTGGTTTGTTTGTTTTTTTACTCTGAGCGTAAGGCACTTGTGCTAAAACTATTCACATCAGTGTTAGAATGAACTTCGACCAGAACAGTGCTGCAGTCAGTCACATTTTACACAAATCCATACCAATGAAATGTTGTGACATTATGTTTACAGCTCAGTCAAAACGTAATTTGTCAACGTAATAATTTAGTGAATAGAGTTTGGGTGGGTTTAATTAGGGCAGAAATCATTTCAGTGCCTATATTTGCGACGCCGTCCTTTCAGTGCTCACAGTGTGGTTCAGCAATTTACAACCGCTTTTACAGACATCCCCATGTATCGTCACACTGCTCTTTGACTGTTTGTGGTTTTCCATGCACACTGGAAGAGCCATTGCTATAACAAGACTGCATGGTCAGATTCCTCCTATTCAAGTATGCTCAGGCATTTGACTATTGATGTACAGTACATTTGACTTTACAAAAAAAAAAAATGCACAAGATAAAATGTGACGTTCTCTGTTTAACTTTCTTCCTTTTTATCTCAAAAAAAAAAAAATCAGATTATCTTTAATGTCATTTTTTAGCCAGCCCAGAGCACTCAGCATGACCCCCCCCCAAAGAAACAAACAATTTTCTGCTGAAACTTTACACATATCTTACATACTGACATAGTCCCACTGTTTATCAGTGCTAACTAAAAGACAATCCTCGAACATTCAAATGATTTAAAAAAAAAACCACACATTTCGTCGATGCCTGTATCAGCCTGCAGTGTGGCGGTAATTAAGGCAAAGATGAATATTTTCTTGTGGGTAATGGCTCCTTCATTGTTATTGTCCAGTCGAGTGTGTAGTGCGTGTGTGTAGTTGCGTGTGCGCGCATCATTTATGCATGTGTCTTTTATGCATCTTCCAAAATATTGCAGGTTTGTGCATTCATGCATGTCTTGTGACTTGTGATCCTGTGTTGTGCCAGTTAAAACTCGTTACCATAGTTTGAGCATCAGTGCTGTGACTGTGAAACACTACCAAAAAACCAGATCAAAACATTGGACACATTGGTATGAAGTGAAAATCCATCCGTGGGCTGCAGTTTGGGAGATCCCAGATCCAGTGTGTACTGTATGTACTGATGCAGTACAGTGTGCACATGGTATCCTGGTCTCAGTCGACGTACGTACGCTTTTATTTTTTTAGTCCATTAGTTCCAATGTAAAAACAGAATGAGTGCCACACCGGTCGATTTCAATCAATTCAGTCAGTCAGAATTAGGAGGTCCCGTCACTCCAGTGTGTGGCCCATTCCTTTTTATGTACCACTCCAGACTTCTCCGTCTGGAACTGTGGCCTGTCCTCCCGAGGAATCTTCACAGCGTGGTACTGTGGCAGTTTGTCTTTGTAGTGGGCCCGTCGGAAGAAGCCACACTTTAGACGCAGCAGGGCGGCGAAGAACGAGAGAGAAAAGAACACAGATGAATGAATGACGGCGAATACAGTTTTTAAGACCTCACGTCGCATACGCACATGCAGTTGAATACTCAGCAACTTAAAGATATTGTAGGCCAGAACTACCTCATAACAGACAATAATATCCCCTAACAGTCATAACCCAGGTCTTTACACTACTCTATAGTGTATGCTGCTGTTTGTCTGTAGTAGTTGTATTTTTCTCTTTTTCGGATACTCAGTATGCATACTGTATATATATGATATATTATATATATTGACAACTGCCGATACTCAGTATGCATACTGTATTTATATGATATATATGTATATATATCATATATATGTATATATATACATGTCTAATCATAGATATAATGCAGACTGAGAGAAAGAGGTGGCGGTGATGTAAATGTAGAACTAGTGAGTTCTCGGGCTTAGCATGTTAGCTTAGCCGCTGGTAGATAGACTAATATGTATTTTCTAATTTGAAGTGTTTCAACTTTTGGCATCTTTTTTTTGTGGGAACTGCTCCAGTGCTCTTCCTCTCTGAAATATAACCCAATACTAACCCCACTAATGTTGTTTTTTTTATGTACCTAAGTAAACTAAACTTATGTACCTAACGTTAAATTGAAGTAGGAATTGCTGCCTACTACATCTTTAAGCCTTTATTGCTTTTAATCACCAAACCAGCGCAACTGCCAGGTGCTGTTAGGACACAACACAGTTTGCTAACTGTTCATCTGACACCAGTCAATAGTCAGTGGGTCACAGGACACATGCCAAATGCTACTCTAAGCCTTAGAAGTGGTGAAATATTAATCGCCCTTGTTGAATGGTGCCAGGCTGAATAAGCACGGTTTAAGAAGCTTTTTTTTTTTTTTTTTATTTTAAAATTACTCAGAGTAAAATCAACACAAAAAATGCAAAAACTGCAAACTATAATTCAAGTTGTTCCAGGGAATGCTTGACTATTAAAGATATTTTTTTTAAAAAAACCCAACCAAACTGTAAGTTATGCTTATTAGAAGAACCGTCAAATTCCACATTTTGAGGCTGAATGTTAACTCAAGCTTACGGTGTAAAAATCACACACACCCTTAGTTTTGTTTTGTGTGTCATTGTAAGGATTTCTGCCTGAGTGTGCACATAATTCATGCTGCAAAAAAAAAAAAAAAACACGCAGCCAGCCACACCAGCAGGAACTTTACCGCTTGGAGTGAAGGGAGGAGGGGAGAACAGGTCAGACGAAAAATAGTTATTTATATTATAGTTCTGATGCCTGCTTCTCCGCCTCCGAGGGCTGGACCCCCAGTTGGGCTTGGTAGTACTCCGTCTCATAGTGTGGGCGGCGCTCACTGCGTTTGAAGAACCCACACTGGGGCAGCAGATCAGAACAGGGAGGGATGGAGAAGGTACAGGAGGAAAAACAATCAGAATAATGGTTTCCAGTGGGAAATGACAGAAGGCAGAACAAAGACGGGCAGGGATACAGGTAGATAAGAAGAGCTAAAAGTGAGCCAGAAATAATAAAGTCATTACAGGACAGAACAGAACAAAGATGATAGAAAATAAGTCACAGAAAGGGATGATAGTTTCGGGAGGACGAGGTGAAATCAAGGTGTCCTGAGAGGAGGACTGGGTTTTTATTTTTCCCTGTAGAAAACAAGGTATCTTTTTTTTTTTTTTTTTAATTTTCTGTACCAAAAAGCAAAACAGTCGGAGGTTGTTACCTTCCACAGTATGCAGACCAGCAGAGTCAGCAGCAGGATTCCTGCCAGTATAGCTATGAGGATGATCCACCAGGGGATATAGTACTGGTCAGTCAAACCAGGTTCAGGGTAGATCATCACTGCAACCTGCGGAGGGAAGGAAGACGAATCACTGAAAACATGTCTGTGGTTCTGTTTGAACAAAAATCTGACACGTCCCAGTATTTATATATACGGAACAAATCCAAAAACGGATGACTACCTGCGTAGCAGCATCTCTGAGAATCAGGTGCTTGATGCTGGACTTGACTGTGATGTTGGCGTGGACCAGCAGCTCTAAAGCGCTAACCGCAGGGAATTCCTGAAAAACGTAGAGAACGTGTTACCTTTGTGAAAATGTTACCTTTGTCAACAGCTACTACAAGGGACACAAATTATTCGCACTCTGTCTAAAAACGTAGAGAACGTGTTACCTTTGTCAACAACTACTACAAGGGGACAAAATGATTCACACTGGGGGAAGTAATATGTCCATGTCTGAAACCATTAAAATCTCTTTAGGTTCCTGTAGAACACCTCCTGGTTACCTTCAACACTGGAGATTTAACCTGATTGACGAAGTGTGTTATCAGTTCTCAGTCCAGCTGTTTTTTTTTCCTTCTTTGGTGATGATGAGTGTTGAATTTATAGAAGTTCTTCATTAGGAAAAATGGTGTTTTTTGTTGTTTTTTTTTTTTTTTAAGGCATCTGTTCTCGAATAGTTTTCATTGTGACTGATATTCCTTTTTATTTTTTTTTACCTCTATGAAACTGCTGTTCCACAGCCTGGCATGAACCTTGAGGACAGCCTGACCAGAGAAGCTGTGAAGGGGACATTGTAACACGATACAACGTGCTGATCCCAGGAGACAATCCTGAATGAACAAAGGTGACAACAGAGCACTATGAGGTTTGTAAAATAGATTTAAAAAAAAATCTGCATGGATTTCAAATTAAAATGGTAGTTCTAGGTGTGTCAATTTGACCTCAGAAAAAACATAAAAGACTCTTTTATGTCTGTGTTCTGATCTCCTTCTCACCAGTTTGCGCGACTTCCGTCTCTCCGAAGGAGCCACAGCTGGAGTGGCTCGTCCTACGCTGCCTTTAGTTGGGACCTGACCTTCGTCCTCTGGGTGTGAGCGACGTGTTCTTCCAGCCTTGAAGGAATGCATTCATACAAAAAGAGAGAGGGGTCAGTCTCTTTCTTTTAAGTAAAACAGTTAGTAAATAACAAGGTATACTTTTGGTATACTTTTTCTCAAATATATATATATTATTTTCTGTTGAGAAGTAAGAAAAGCTTTTCAATTCAGAAAATGTGCTTGGTGAAAAAATTAAAAAATATTTCAAAGAAAAAAATGTTTTTAATGTATATATTTATGTTTTGTAGACTATAAGAGTTGTGTACAATTATAACTTTATTGTTGTTCGTCTCCTGTACTTACCCTGGCAGACTGTAAAAACCCTGCTGATGAGGATCCCTGAAGCTGAAGAGGATTAAAGGCCTCTGCAGGAGTGCACTGTGTGTCCGGGTGACCCTCGAACCTCAGGCTTGCTGGATACAGGAGCCATTTCTCGTTGGGCAGCTCATAGGGCCACATGATGTTCAGGAAGGCCGAGCCCAGCGTCTGCAGAGCCTGTCCAGGATTAGCCACCTGACGGACAACAATATATACAGGCTCATCAGAAATGGTAACAATAATAGCATTTTGTTTTTGTTTTTTTTATTTCACGGGTATTTTGTCTCTACTTAAAAAGGGGAAAATGAATGTGTTCAAATGAATACTCATTTACAGTCAAGACTCACCACAAACTCAAAATCCACTGGACTGCCTACGTCCTCCAGACTAGTCATAGCACTCTCTCCCATCACTGTCCCGCTGAAGAAAAGCTGATGAGGTCGGGCAACTCTGTAGTGACACAAGTAACATACAGTGTGTTAATGTGAGACAACTGGGTTTTTTTGGCCATTTTAGATCATTATACTTTGTTTTTTTTTTTGGCCGTTTTAGATCATTATACTTCCTTAAAAAGACATTCATTTGCATTCATAATGATGTAACAATTTGAATTTTGACAGGCTATAACTAAGAATAATGTAAATATGTTACAAGTAAAGAACACAGAAGCCATTCACGGTGTACCAAGAAATGATTTCGTTGCTGTGGTGTTACTCACCCGCTGACAGATAGAGGGAGCTCTATTACAACTTTAGCAAAAGCAGTGACTGGAGCCAAGTCAGGCTGCTCACTAATACTGAGAGAGGAAAAAAACAAAAAGAATAAACACGGTCACCGGATGAGAATTAAGTATAAATAAATAAATAAAATGATCAAAAACACGCGGCTTACGTTGTCAGTAAGAGATCGGCTGTCAACTCTGTGGTCTCTATGGTGATGTTTGCCGTGCTCAGGTTAATGGTGAACTTCAGCTACGAGACAAAATGTATAAATAAAAAAAAATAGAAAAAAATATGAATTATAAACAATTTAGGTTTTGCCCAAAATTGCGGTGCTGTTTCCTTACCTTGGTGTTTCTCTTGACAGGATTTCCCAGGTCGCACTCTACCTGGGAACCGTTCTGATTCGCTTGGCATCTCATCTGCAGTGAGCCAGAACAGATCGCATGGTAGCATTATTTTTTTTGTCAGGTTTACTGCACATACAAACCACTGTAACTCTGACAAACTTTTTTTTTTTTAATATCAGGGTGATGCAGTTAAACCCAAATGCTGCTGTGGTTGAAACTTCACCTGTGTTGGGACCCTGGAGCCGGCGTATGACAGCGTGTTTGGAAGAGTGATATTCAGCTGTGCAGCGTGAGCGTCGTCTCCATCCTCCTCTGGGTTGAGGGGGTCAGAGGGAAAGTTGGTGACTGTGATCTCCAGCACCACCAGCCGCTGGTCGGACAAGGAGAACACCTGGACGTCATCTTCATCTCTGCAAGTAAGCAAGTTATTTGATTACTTACACATACATACATATACTCGATGCCTTGCCAAATATATCCGGGGACCAAAAATTGATTTGCACAGGTACTAACGTTGGCAGGGGGGTGAACAGGTCAGAGGTCAGAGGGCGTGTTCCAAACTGGTAGCTCAACTTCAGGTTGCTCTGGCAGATTTTGTCACTGCCGCATCCTTCTCTCAGGAAGTTCACCTTCAAGGAAGCAGATGGTTAAGAGTCTTACCTTTTTTTTTGGTCATTTTTAGTTCAACCACTGACAACATAGTAGACACTCCTGCCTCCAAAAACAAAAGTGCAGTTCAACCACTGACAACATAGTAGACAGTCCTGCCTCCAAAAACAAAAGTGTCTAGCTGCTTAAAATGTCTGAGGTGAAAGTGTAAAACATCTATTTTAAGTTAAATGAGCTTTAACAAGTGACCGAGAAGCTTCTGGATAAAATTGCTAGTCACCTCTGAGTGTAGAGTATTCGAAGGTGAAACATTCAGCACAGGTGCCAGCTTCTCCAGCCTCTTGGCTCCTGAATGCCTGCGTGGTGGCACAGCCTTGATAGTGTGGGTTATGGCCAGGGAGATTGGACGAAGTTTGTCCCTGATGTTTTCCTGTTTGGACGGATGCGATGATTAAAAGTCTGCAAAGCCGTCGTGTCTCTGTTTAAGGTTAGAATTCATTCAATCCACAAACTGACATGAAGCTGGAAGACGGCGCTGGTGCACACAGGGTGGCGCTGTCGATGCAGCTCCACTTCCTCTGCCTGAGTATACTCGGGTTCTAACGAGCTACGACCCAGAAAGTGAACCCGATGTGGGAGGCCCAGCTTCCTGCGCTCTGTGTCAGCTTCGAAGTGTACCACCAGGGCTATAAGAGAGCAGGAAAAAGAGAGTTGTCAGTATAGGATTGGACAGCACTTGAAAAAGAGCCTGTATTAAACCGCCACCTTAGGGAGTAGAATTTTACACAGCTGTGATTTAATCATAATAAAGTCTAATGTTTCCCTCAGGCACAGTTACCTCCTACTTTATACAGAAGTGACTCCTGTTACTGTAAAGCCACCGTGAAAGAACACAACAGGCGTGTTTAGAAAAACTGATGTGATACTCACTGATGTGTGGAGAGTAGTGTTCTGGATGGGCTGTGAACGTGAAGCATGCCTTGACCTCCACGCTAAAAAAGAAAAGAAGCATACATTTGGTTTTTAGTTATTAACATATGAAACGCTATGTAAAATTAAAAAAAATAAGACAGATTGTAGTGACTAGAGTGACTAACAAGATTATATATAATTATAGTCCTACCAAACTCCGTCTCTGCCCTGGCAGTTGTGCTGCTCCAGATCAATGTATTCAGGTTCAATCGATATCTCTCTGATCACATGGATGACTGGACGAGACCTTCGGGGGTTATGAAAACAAACCACTTTAGTGAAATTGAACAATCGATGCACGGTAAAAGTTGTGTTAAATGCGAAGATAATATCCAAACCACTAAGAGCGTAACAGTCTCTTTTTGACAACGTCATGACTCTTACCGAAACAGAACCACCGAGTCATTCAGAGAGCCAACTGCAATATCGGGATATTGGTTATTGTCAATATCCAGACCGCCTGAGATGGAGTATCCAAAAAGTTTCACATCAAAGTCACGACCGTCCAACACCTGCGGGAATTGAAAGATAAATGTTTTTTTTTTTTAGCCATTTAAAACCATCAACAACATTTGTTATTTCTTACTGACATTAAACAAACAGCTCACCTGAGCAGGTTTGGTCTCTATTCCAGAATCCGATCCTCTGTAGATGAAGACTTTGCCATCTCCATCAAACGGTGCGCCCACAGCAATATCTGTACATATGGAATAGTTCATGATGACATTATTAATTAAAGTATTTTTTACTTTATCTTGTACCTTCATCACACGGTCAGTCTCACCTCCATATCCGTCTTGGTCCAGATCTCCAATACTGTTCACCGTCATCCCAAACATGGAGTCATATGTACCGTTGAGTCTGATTGGCCGCGCGTGATCGTCCCAGTGACCAAATGGGTTCAGATAAACATAAACAGCTCCACCAATTTCTGCCTTACGGTCAAAAAAGTTTGGAGCGCCAACAATCAGGTCGGTCCAGCTACAAAAAAATAGCAAAGTAATTTAGACTTCAAGCTTAGAGTTCAAGTTAGACTTTGTTTACAGATAGTGCTTTCAATTGAAGTACACTTTTGTCAAAGCTCTGCTCACTTTCTGTTCGGTTGGCTATGTTGACATTGCAGAAAGTTTAATTTAATTTGGGTTTTTTTTGTATCATGTTTCACTATTCTATTTCTACTTACCGTCATTTGTTTAACTCCCAGTACATACCCAGTTCATACACTAACGGCAGCTGCGTCAGGGCATTTTCTTACCCGTCCATGTTTAGATCGGTGGTCGCTACCGAGTAGCCAAATGAAGATGCCAGTTCCTCCCCCCAGAATATGTGTTGCGGCACCAGCCGGTAGACATTGTCCTTCTTCAACAGCACCACCGCCCCTGTGTGGTTAGCCCTCGGTGCGCCCGCTACAAAGGTCAGCTCTCTGAGACTCATTATACCTAAGGCTGAGTCTACAGAAAAGCCTGAAGGATGAGGAAACGGGAAAAAGGAAGGGAGGGCAGGGGGTTGGGGGGGAGGGGGAGGGAGAGGTCAGGGGTTAGTATTGACCATGGGCCTGGGAGGCTAATATAGCATGTTCTGCTCGGCTTCTTACTAATGAAATGTGTGCCTTAAGTGGCTATTGATTTTACGCCAACGTCATGATAAGTCTAAATGTCTTGTGTGTTGCTGTGGGAGGAAAGTAAATGCTCGTGTGTCTACCAGTCAGTGGAAAGGCCTGGAAAGAAATTTATTGGACTTCGCTAATTCCTCATGAGATATATGTTCTGGCTTGTGAATCAGCCGCCTCTGGTGAACGGCAGTACGTAAACAGAGGCTGGATGTAAATCAGATTTATGGCGGTCCAGCGCATCTCCTCCGCCCAGTGAATTTGTGTGCATCTGTTTGTGTGTGTTTGTGTGTGTGCTGTGAAAAATAACACGTCATTCCGAACAATTCACTTAAACCCAAGCAACCGCATGCATTTGCTAAAGTACTCTATAACAGACGAAACATGCACGAGTGTGTGAACCTAGGGCAGGATCATCTATCAGGACATTTGTTAGCCCTACGTAAACATGCAGATGGAGACAAAACAGAGACAAACATTCAGCAGCTCCAGGGTTGCAGGTGTGGAATGCAACAGATTACATCCCGGCTCCTGTAAAAACGAACGCTCAGAGGCGAGGCGCTACTTTTTCCACACTGGGTGGCTTTTAACACACAGGCTTAATACACGGTCAACACAGTAAAGACTAGACGTGGAGTGGACACCTAATGGTGCAAAAGGGTTTAACGGGGGGTGGGGCTGGGGCCCTGCAGCAGTCTACAAACAGTAGTTTGTTTTATCAGTGATTTACTTATTCAACCAAGTCTTTTGTATCATTGTGTGAGGTCAGGGAGGCTGAGAACCACTATTTGGACACCATTACATTTTTTATTAGTTTCTTCTGTGATTCCTAATTAATACACTGTAATATTTGTATTTGATTATTAATATATTTTTAGGGTAAACGTACATCGGGCACTCCTTTGTTCTTAAGTAATTATCTAAATAAAATTTTTCAACTTAAGTAATTATCTAAATAAAATTTTTAAAAAATAAATAAAAGAAGACTTCAAATCTAAAAAAAAATAGATACCACCGCTCCATTGTAGCATAAGAAATCCTGTTAGCCCTGCACTTTACATCAAAGAGACTTCTTAAATGGGATTTGATTCAGCTGTGCCCGGGAGTGAACAGAAAGGTTTTTTTTGGGGGGGGGGGAATCCTCGTTGTTTTCTTTCCCTTTGGGATTTATATGCAAAACAACTGTCAACCAGGGGCGTGTCGGGTTTTAAATTCAGCTAAGGGTATTAATTTGGGAGCATTTAAAACAGTCGTCTCTGGTGATTTAGTAAACATGCGTATGTGTGGCTGGTTAGGATCAATGGAAGCATGTGAGATATTAATGAAGGCTCGGGGGTCATGTGGGAATTAGCGTTGTCAGGGAGACAGGTTCAATATGGTGAGTGGGAGGGTACAGAGGCGCGTAGGTATGTGAATAAAGAGATTTATGACAGAACTGTTTACCAAGGAGAAATAACGACAGACCGACCACATCATGTTTCCACATAAGAATGTTAAAAGCTAAAGGGAGCGTTGACAGAAGAACAAAACTCATCTGGAGTCAGGAACAGAAGAAGGATTTGGGATTTTATTTCGTGTGTCTTCTACATCTACAGATTTCTACCAAACCTTTATGGGGTTTGTATCGCTCTGTGCTAATATTAGCTCGCTGACACTCTGTAACTAAGCTACAGTTTTGTTAGCACAACCATTAAGACTTTCTGGTTAGTTAGATTGTCTGTGATCAAAGAGACGACAAGTCACCGAAAAACCACCACCTCCTGGAAGAGCATCGTACCGACACACACATGCAGACGAACGCAGAATTCAACAGACATTACAGACAGGCACCCTGCTGTTACTGAAAGAGACAACCTCCTAATTTATGTGCTGCTAAAAAAAAAAAAAAAACCCAACCCAAAAGATATCAAAAATTAAATGATGTAAATAATATTTTTTGAGGGGAAGAATCTTATTTCGTTCCTAGCAGCTGTCTCTTCAGAACAGTAAGGGTGGAACTATGTTGTTAAACATAGTTTAATTCCATAACGGTAGACACACGGTGGAATTAAAGGAAGCACTGAGGCTACGACGGAGACAGAGGACATTAGACTACGTCCACTACAAGCTCAATCCGGTCCAAAACAACATCACCTCGCTCCTACAAACCTAAGTAGCTATTATGAGCTACGTCCTCAAATGGAGTGGGCCGGCTGGAGGGCTCCAGAGTTTTGTACAGCAGTGCATCTTCAACAGGGCTAGCCATGAACAAGAGCCCTAGGGCCCGAGACAGGGAAAAGAAAGATAGAAGATACAGAAGGTGGAGTGCAGGGTGGGGGGGGGTTGGGGTGAAGGGGTGGTGAGATGGTGAGGAGGCAAAAAAAGTGAAAAGAGAAAGGAAAAAAGGAAAAGGGAGGTGCCGGTGAGACGAGCTGCGATTGATTGGTGTTTTTGTCTTCTGTGGTGCTGCAGGGTGTCTCTCCTGCAGAACCGGCGGGTACCCAGTGAAGTGGTGACGGACTGTGGGATCAGACTGTGTCCCAACATGATTCCGCTCGCAGAGTGAGGACACATTTTTCAGAGCTTCATTCCCAGACGAGGTCGGTGAGTGGAATAAGGATAAGCTAATTGTTTTTAGCCTCATGAGAATCTATGGCGGTCCCTGATTAGTTTGGACATATTTGACAACTCCACCCGCATTACATGAGAAATTAAATATAGGTGGAGTCATGTGCATGTGTTTTATGAGTCACGCCAATAAAGACGTAGCCCAAAAATACTCTGCAGGGAATTGGAGCCATGTACTGAAACAAGTTTCTGTTCACTGCTCAGAGGGTAATATTGAGATACAGTCTCAGCCCCCAGTGTCACCCTTCCCTCTTCTGCCCTCGCTTTCTCCGCTGTGCGTGGACAGCAGTGAGCAGGGAGGACAAATCCTACCCAGGTAACTGTGGTAAGGCACAGGGATGAGCTGAGCATTGAGTTGTTTCTGATCTGCCACCTCGTACGGTCCGTCGTCATAGAAACCGAGGTCTAGCAGAGTCTGGTTTAGGAGTTGGACACGCATCTCACCTAGATATGGAAACAGGTGAGGGAACAGCAAAACAACAACAACAACAACAACCACAGGCTTTTTACGTCAAACGCGTACGAATGTTTGTTATACGGTTTTAAAATTAGATAATGTTAAGACTTATGTTTAAGTTGAATTACTCCAAATGTTTATGGAAATATATTTATACAGGATGGTGCACTAAAACCAAAAATCATACAGTATGGACAGATTGTAGACTTACATTTTAAAATAGAATATTATGATGAAAATACATAACAGTTATACAGTATATTTATCTATAAAAGTCGATGTATTTCTAGACCAGAGTGATCAAACATACAGTCCGTGGGCCAAAACCTAGGGGGTTCAATCAGGCCTGTCTGATAAATTTTGAAAATTAAAAAAAAAAATCTTCACACTTTACATGTTCAGGATATGGTTTGAATAATTATTTTTTATTAAATATTAATATTTATTATATACAGCGGGACCCCGAGATACGAGTTTAATCCGTTCCACCACAGCACTCGTATCGAGGTTGTATTTTCCCCATTAAAAATAACTAAAAACCAATTAATTCATTCCAGCCCCCCAGAAATATACTCTTAAAAAATGTAATCAAATTCTGCCTCCTATCTCAACATAATATATTGATAACATAAAATAATATTAATTTAGAAAACATTTTATATTATTGTTATAATAATATACTGGGAAACCCGGGGAGCTCGTATCTCGGGGGCCCCACTGTATATGTACAGTTCTTTGCAAAGAAGACAGAAAACAGAGCGGAAACCGTGGACTTGTGTCATGTTGAGATTTATTACCTTTCCAGTTGTATGTCCCCGGAGCTCCAAACAGAATAAAGCTGTTGTCTGGGGTGAAGCTGACAGAAAGGCCCTGCTGACAGAAGCCAAACTGTTCGTGTCCCTGCGGTCGACCCTCGCAGAATTTCCACTCCCCTCCATCCAGGTCATCTCGCTCTGTCAGGTCCTCGCTTAGGACATAGCAGCGTCCGATGGGATCGCGAGTCTCCGAGGGTTGATTCACACGTTGCCTGAGCTCATATAAGTGAGCGCAGGTCTGTGGAGAGATAATTGATGGTATTATGAGAATCTCTTATGATGGCTGAGACTGTAGGTCTATTACACACTGCGTATGCCACAACGGTATGCATCGTGCTCGACTCTAATGCAGTTTCCTGCACTGATGGTTTTAGACGACGTGCACTTCACTCACCACCACCTTTCCTCCGATCCCCTGACTCTTGACAGTAACACCCAGCCACTGGTTGTCTTTGCTCTCTCTGTCCAGACTCACTGGGAGAAAACACAGAAAGGAAATGACAAACGCCGCGGTTTCCACATTGTAAACTAATTAGGGCCTGAGTCACAGGAAGCAAAAAACGTTATGTAATGGAGTTATTTTAGCACTGGTTATAATATACAACCTTTTATAACAAACTTGGTTCAGAACTACTGGTTGTTTTTCGTAGGCGTTTAGTTCTACTCCAAACTCACCGCTTCCGTCAATGTCCACTCTTTCACAGTCGTACTCCTCTGGAGTGATTGGACACCTAAACAGAGCTCCTGGCCGACTCCCCCGCAGCAAACCCTGGCCAGCTGCCTGTGGTGCACCAACCAGGATCCTAAAACAGCATATACGTTATTTGATTACATGATCATAGGCAGTTTTTTGTTTTGTTTTTTTAAATAAGTTATAAAGCACACCTAGATCAGAAGTTCGCAAACTTTTTGACCCGGAGGCCATAATGGGTTCTAAAATTTTACAGGGGGGTTGGACGTAGATAGTGTAAACAAAAATAAATGACAAACGTACGAAAATGATTTTAGCGTTGTGATGTCTGATATTGTATTCTCATCAGACATACAGCTGTTGATGCGACTTCAGTGAAAAAATATTTTGTTGTCCACTCCTTATTGTGGGGATTGTTGGGGCAGTGGTGGCTTAGTGGTTAAGGAAGCGGACTTCAGGTTTCGAGTCCACCAGCTGCCAAGTTACCACTGAGGTGCTCTGAGCATGGCATCGTCCCCACTCACTCTCCCCGGGCTGGTCACTTTGGTGATGGGTTAAAAGCAGAGGTCACATTTTGTTGTGTCACAATGACAAGTAGTTCACTTTCCACTTTTTTTTTCTTAGAGTCGCTAATTTTTACTTAAGGGTTGGAAGTTCAAGCAAAGAGCAAAGCAAAACAGTAAAGCAAAGAGTAAAAGACGTCACCACTGGAGTGTGCTGTCTTATTGGGAAAGTGCGTAAATTGCAGGGCGAAAAAGCAAAATGAAATATATAATTTAATTTTATAATTTGGACACGTTCAGCATGCCGTATCATAGTTTGTCCAAGCCTGACCTAGCTGGTATTAAATTCTCCTTCACCTATCTTTATAGGATTTGACTTCATATTAAAAATCCTCCGATAGATATACAAGACGCGTGAGAAAAATCCTCAGCGTTTCTCATTGTACCAGAGTGAGATGTTAACCTACTCCAACAAAGGCTGAGAAACTGCAGGAGCTAGGAACTAGGTTCTGTTGACATTAAACTCAGTGACGACAGCTCTGTGATTTCTCTGGCTTCTGTGTCGTGCTATCAAGGGGAAAGGACGGTTTTATGCTCAGTGAGGTGGTCAGTGATATTCTGGGGCCAGTGTCACTGCCCTGGGCCTTATTAGGAGCGGCTCATTCAGACTGGGATGCTATTTAAAAACCGAAACATTGAGCTGCATTCTTCCCAACCCTGTTAGCCGTGGAACCCTGTCACCATGGAGGCAAGAAGGGAGGAAACTTGGGCAGAGGGGAACGATCGTAAAATAGACAGAAACAAGGGAGAGAGAGTGCATTTTAAATGCAGTGCAAAAACATCAGTTTGCGATGTACAGACAGGATGGAGTTATTTTTAACAATGGTATGCTACAGCAACAAAAAATAGCTACTGTATATCACCATAAAGTAGTTACAAGGTCCATGAAAGAAAATGCTTTTCTACCATCTCCCTTGTTTACCTTGTTGCGTTCACACTTAAATTAGAGCTCTCTGTAGCTGGGAAGTATGCGCGCCTATAAATACAATGGGGCAAGCTGATAGCACTGCAGGGACCAGGCTCACAGAAAATATAGCGGGAACTAGCGGGTCTGAGAAACCGAGTCATAACACAAGTGTCAGGTGTACAGCCGCTCCTCCTGAACTGTGATGGATGCGGAACTTTAGAAGTATTTGACAACTATAGTTTCAGACAGTGAAACACTGTTAAGTCCGTCGGTAAAGTAAAACGAGTATGGTGGTCGAAAAACCCAGTCTAGCAACATTTTTTGAATTTTTTGAAGAAAGTCCGGTGCAACGTGTCGTGAAATCCGATAACAATTGATTGCACATTTTTTGAATTTTTTGAAGAAAGTCTGGTGCAACGTGTCAAAAACAAAAACAAAAATTGATTGTGATGTTTTTTTTATTGAAAATAGTTTTAATTACTGATATATTTAGCTACAGTGTGCAGCTTGTTTATTAAATGCACCGTAAGTTTTGCCGAACAATTCTCAGGAAAGAAAGTACTTCAGACTCTGATCATCAGATAAACAGAGCATTGAGTAAAAAGTCACATCAAAGTGTAGTTCATTACATTTGTAATGAACTATAATCGTTTGCCAGTGCACTAAACTGAATGAGATACAAAGAGTTTTTGAATAAACAGTAGTAGGAACTGTATAAAAGACCTTCAAACAATTGACTCTTAATTTTGTCCCAGAATGTTTTTGTGGTGCTTAACAGCAACACAACTGGATACTAATTGTAGACAAAAAAAAAATTGCCACCAATAAATATCTGTAGTAATTCATATATTTGATCAGAGTTTTTAATTACTCTATCCACAATCCATTTAACTACTATAACCATGCCGTGAGTCACGATCAGTGTCAGACGTCCAAGGTTTACAGGAAGTTTAGGAAGTCGCCCTCATCCTTACAACGGCTCCTTGATGCCAACAAATGAAATGAAGCATCCCGGAATTTAAAGTAAGCGAGCAGGAGGCATGGGAGGCAGAGGAAGTGTGTGGGAGGAGAAGGAGGGCGTGAACTAAGGTGTCCTTATGATTGTTTGTAGTACTTTTCCCGTGACTCAAGAGTTGGGGTTTCCATGCGTTGGTTGGACAATACACTCTCTGATCACAGAGAAAATTAAAACGAATGAAGAGCAAGGCTTTTTTAAGCAATCTTAAATCCTTAAATCTTCTACATTTTAGTGAAAACAAAAGGACAAATACTAATTGTCTCCCTTTAGAAGACTTACTTGTGTTTAAATTGTCTTAAGAATTTGAAGTTTAGGTAAAAAGGTACGGCGTACAAACTACTGACTGATGATGATATCATCAAAACTGCCACGTAAAAATAATTTGCGTTCAATACTTCCTCACCGGTGGTCTGTGTGGCGTTAACAAGTCAGTAATGTTAGTCCAACGCAAACACATTACACCAATCTCGGAATCTCTTTAGGAAGAAGTGCTCATCACTCAAACCTGATAAGATCTGCCCACTTCTACACGTCGACATTCCAGCGGTCTCAGTTCTGGTTTCTGTTATGGTGGTACCTCTTTTGCCCCCCCACCCCCCTCAAAGGCAGATATAGTGCTGGCAGGTGTGAGAGTGTAAGTGGGAGGTACGTTATACAGTACCAGCAGTATTTGGAGAGCAGAGCTGAATGACAGCTAGTCTGTCTGTGCAGCTGTAAAAACCACAGGTAGAAGTGATTTATTGTCGCAAGATGTTGCATGAAAAAATAGCTTTGGCTGTAGCTTCACTCTGATAGAAGGGTATATGAGGGGAGGTAGGTGTGTAAAACGACAGACAGACAGTAAATAATTATTCAGTGGATCTAGAGAACCACACTCACGGCAATATGTCAAATCATTCAAGTGAAATCGTGGAATTGAATTACACCCTCCAATATCCATGGAAGTGTTTACTTATGTATTGATTTGGCCCAGCAGGTGGATTTCATGTACTATAACCAGATCGATGCGAGGTCGGCGTCATCGCAACGTTTGACCGTGATCATTTCAGTTCTGTCTTTTTCCCTTCACGCTGAAAGGCCAATGGTGCGGTTCTGTTTTCAGAACCGGATTTGAAACCAGCCATTGTCATAACAAACAGCTCAGAAATAGTTCTCCAAAATCAGGAGCATTTCTTCATCGACAAACCCATGGGACTTTTTATAGTCACGGAAGAGATGATGAAGGAAGAGGAGGTTAAAAAAAAAAATAGTTACAGTTGTGGACAAATGTCCAGTTTTCTTTAAAAGGAATGTAAATTTGTTTAGGTTGATTGTTTATTTAAAAATGAGAACTGAGAAGCATCTGTATGAAATTAATGTTAGTTCATATCTGCATGTCAGTGCCTAAAGTATGTTACTAAATATGAATAATCTCAAAAATTGCATCGCCAAAATTAGACATCAACAATGTTAAACAATGCAACGCTTTGTCGGCCACGGTTTTGTCAGTTGTCCGGCCGTTGGTTTTCAAGCGTGAAATAGTACAACAGACAAGAGCAGGTGTCGTGGATGAGCAACGGTTAGTCATTTATGTTCTCTTCAAACACTTCACAGCCCACTGCATTGTTCACGTTTGAGTCAGATGTGATCATATCACGATTTCCAACACCAGGCTCATCTGTCAGTAATCCTGCATTTGACATGGTGTCAGATCTGTGGTTTGTGTCTGAGGGCGGGAAGATAACGGATGGTTGACGGCAAAACCCAACCACAGGCACCGGCATGACGTGACTCTGGGTTTGAGTTTGCGAGAGTGTGTGTACTGGTGTTATCACATCGTGGGGACACGAGTCAGTTTGACATTTAAAGCTGTAGGGACCTGTTGAGTTGGGTGTACTGGTGTTATCACATCGTGGGGAGTCAGTTTGACATTCAAGCTGTAGGGACCTGTTGAGTTGAGAGGACATGATCAGTGGACCTGTGATGTGTCCATTACTATGTGTGAATTGTGCAATCGGTATAAAATGTTAGTCCCACAATGGGGAAATTCACAGTGTGAGTTTTTGCAGCCCACAGGTGGCACCGGTAGGTATCGGGTTGCAACTCTCAGGCTGCCACAGGGGGCACCAAAGAGTTTGCGTTTTTTTTCTGTGACTCGCAGGATTGTCTGCATGTTAGGCAGATATGTAGGGCAGGCATAACTACACTATGGAATATATATTGAACATATAAAATATATCGAGTGTTTGCTGTTGTACATAAAGAGTCTATTTTATTCAAATTCTCCGTATTGTAAGGCAACGGCACTACTAAGTTTGTATCTGTTCTTTCGTATAGTTTAGATTCCTTAGAAAGGTCTATTTCTGACATGCTCTGTTCTTGTCCCTCCAATGATTTTAAGCCTTTTCTTCTCTGTGTTCTTAGTCCAGAGCTTTAACAATGTCCTCCCACTGTCAGGCGGAATTGGTTTTGGTCCTCTTTGACCTCTGGAAGAATACAGGCCAAGACTATAGAATGAATGAAGCAACGCCGTCACAGAGAGAAAGCCAGTACGTTGCCTTACCCAATGCGTCTGAATCCATTGTGTCCAATACACAGTACTTCTCTATATCCTTCCCCTTATCTCACTGTGATTTACCACCACG